CTTTTATTTTCATCAGTTTCTAAATTGAACTTATCAATTAGTTGGTTCATGCGGCGTTTTTTGGTCTTTTGAGTTTTGGTTAGTTTAGCCATAACATTCTAATTCTTTTTCTTCTTCCTCAAAAAGAGCAGGGGTTTCTAATAAAGCCTTCCGGATTTCTTTGATTACCTCTTTTTTATTTTCAAACTCACAATTACTCTCCTCTAATTCATCTAAATTACCTACGGCACAATTGCGACAAAAGTTTTTTTCTTCATAAGGATAATATTTTTCACTAATTACTCAGATGGGCATTTTTAACTTGCATTTGAAGCAAAAACCCCGCGAGGAGGGCGGGGTTAAAGTGAGGTCAAGGAGGTGGGGCGATAATTTGGGGTGTTTGATAGTGAGGTGGTATTTATTCTTCTTCATCCTTACTTTCTCCTAATTCTGATTCTGCTTGCCCCTCGCTACTTTCCTCCGTTGGTCCATTTCATCATTCTTTCAGTTGTTTTCAGAATATCGCTACTCCTCCGGCAATTAGTAATGGGGGAAGTCAAAATACTGCATATCCTCCTCATTGGTATCATTTTGTATCATCCGTAGTTTGATTGCCATTACCAGTATCATCATCAGTAGTAGAGTATTCAGTTAAATCATCCTTTAAAGCCTTAGCATGCAAAGTTTTAGTTCCAATCGCCACTTCATAAAGAGTAGTGTTGATTTCTACATCCGTTAAATTGTCAATTCCTTTTTTATTCAGAACTTTTTTAATTTTCCTTTCCAACTGAGTTTTCTTTTTATCTTTATCATCCCCAGTATCTTCCATATTATCATACTCATATCTTTTGATAGTAATAATTACTATCTTAGGGTCTTTTAATAATAATTTGCCCCAAGTATCAACATCCTTAACATTTTCATAGCCATTGGTTCCTCCCTTAATATGCTTAAAGAAGTCATCATATTTATCATCTTTTTTTAGGAAACTACTTTCTAACAATTCTTTTAATTTAGCACTAGTTTTGAAGTTATTAGCCTCCGCACTTTGCCATTTATTTTTCAAGTCTTCGGTGAAAGCAGTTTCTAAACTAGCATCGAATGTTTTAAGAATATCAGTATAGGTTTTAAAAGTATCCGCAGGGTCTTCATTTTTGCCAAGAGCAGTTTTAATAACTTTTCACTCGGTTTTTTCTTTATCACTGAATTTAATCAATTCATCTCACTTTTCATAGTCATCATGGTAGGCTTGTAAATCATTAGTAGTTTCTTTAATCCTTTTACACTTGTCAGCACTAGTAGTTCCTGGAATGGTGCTGAATAAAAGCAATTTGGAATTATTATAATTATCTTGGATAGTTTTTAAATTATTGTAAGCAGTGTTTTCATCATCATCCGAACTATCTTTACTTTCATCTCCACTCTCTAAATAACGAATTGTTTCTAATCGAATTTTAATCTGTAATAAATCACCATATTCTTTTCGATTATCTTTGTCTACTGTGCCATCAGCCTTTTTAGTTAATTCAAAACCATCCTTAATTTTATAAGTAGTAGTTAATTCATTTCTGAATTCAGTTAATTTATCACTAACCAACTTATCAATTTTAGCATTTAAGGCAGTTCGTTCAGTTTCTTTTCTAGTTTTTTCCAACTTCTTTTTTTCTACTTCCTGGCTGCTTAGAGCAATGGTTTGGATTTCTACTTGGCTTTCGGCTTGTAATTCAAGCATTATTTCCTCGGCTTCATCTAAACTTCGATTATTTCCATCACTGTCTTCCATCATTTCTAAACCAAATTCAGTAGTTCCATTACTTCAACTCTTACTTTTTTCATTTCAACTAGCATGGTGGGTTCTTAAATCATTAAACAAAGCATGTTGGGGAGAACCAGTGAAAGAACTGATTAATTTTATTCTATTTCCACCACTAGTATCGGTAATGCCGTTGGCAAGTTCGATTCATCCTTTAACTCCTCCTTTTAAAGAAAATTCCTTGGTAGAAGTTCCTGTTTTATAGAGGGTTTGACCAGCTGGAACAGTAATCCCATAATCATTTTTTAATTTATCATTATCTCAGGTTTCACTAGGTAAATAAACGGGGATAGTTTCGGTGTGAGTAATATCTTTGTCGAGGGTTTCTATAAAAGTTTTTTCTGCTCCGTTAACTGTTTTTTTAGCATCATTGACTAGTCTTAACCAGTTATAAAAATCAGTAATTATAGCATCTACTCCTCTACTATTAGGATAAGCCGTATTGTGTTTAGTGGCATCATTCGGAACATGTTGAGTATAAGTAGTAGTAAAATCGTAAGCTGCCTTTCCTTTCTTAACTTGTTTACCATCAGCAATCAATCTATCTAAAAGAGTAGTAAAATCCGTAGAACTTCCAACTCCAAAACTGTTAAACTTGGCTTTAAAATCAGCTACATCACTCATTTTGCTTAATCCCTCACAAATCCGAGCCATTATGCTAATAACTTGTTCCTCAGTAATTTTATAACTATTGGCATCAGCATTGAAATGGTATTGGTTATCAGTAAAAGGAGTTCCCGTAGTAATAGGTTTAGAATATTGAGTTCCTATTTTAGTATCTCAATTATATTGAGTTCCTGTGCCTCCATGAAAATTATCGGATAATTGTTGGAAAGTTTGGGTTCGACCAGGAGCACCATCAGTAGTATTTTCAAACAACTCTTTTCTTTTTTTTATAGCATTATAAACTCTAAGTTTTTCTTTGGCTTTTTGTCCTAAACCTTTCCCAGTCTTTATTTCTTGTTCTAGGAGATTAATTTCGTTATCCAATTCAACTCTTTTATTACCCAATATTTCAATTTGGGATTTATCTATTATATTACCTTTGTCATCTTTTTCGGTTGTATTTTTCAGTGGAATTAATAATTTTAAATCATTAAATCACTCTTGACTATATTTAGCATGTTTTCTTACCATATTTATTTGATTAATTTGTATATTTTAGGTGTTTTTAAATTGTTATATTTTGCCAATTAGTAGAGCAAAACACAATATCACGATACAATTAAACGAACATATTGCGAAACTCTTGCTAATTGGGCTTTTTTGACCGTTAGGCCATGTTAAGGAGATTATGCTCCTTTATTTATCTTTTCTTTATTTCTTAAGACAAACTTCTTATCCTTTTCTTCCTGCTCCTTTTTCCACTCCTGCATATTTTGTCAACAACGAGGAATTAATCTTTTCAAAGAAGGATGGGGAAGTTCAGGGTTGAACTTATGCCTCATTAATAATCCTGGCTCGTTTTTAGAAGAAATGCTTGGTCTTGCTTTCTCAGAATTAAAAAGTTGTTTCCGAGCCTCAAATAATTCTTGTTCTGCCAACTCTTCCTTTTTTCTAAACTTTCTCCGTTCCTTAGGAGAAACATGTTTCAACCAATTTGGGTCATCCTGGTAAGAAAGTGAGGGATTGTTGAAAGCTGGACCAAAGAATTTGAACTTCTTTTTCATTATAAACATTAAAAAATTATTATATAAGAGGTTAAGAGAAAAACATTTTAGGAAAAGAGATTAGGAGATTAGTTATCCCCCAATCCCTCTTCGGAGATGGATTCTTACTCTGATATCGGTTGGTTAATGTCGCCAATAAATTGGGACAATCAACACAACGCTTTGGGGAGGATTATGTTTTCCATGAGATGGGAAAATCATGCCACCCTAGTTCACAGTTGAGAAAATGAAATTTTGCTATCTTTTCTAGTGGTTCAAAAAAAACCTTAAAAAAGGGCTAATTTCTCATTTTCTAAGTAAAAAAGCGGAGAATTTAATCCTAACTTTGGCCCTAAACTTCCTTTTGGATGATAAATTACAGAGGTGAGTTAATTTCTGTGCTGATAATTAAGTAATGCTTTTATGGCCTTATCCTCCAACCAACCAAGACGGCTTACCAATCCCGTTTCCTTTTTTATCGAAGTGTTGGTTGCTCTACACTCAACTTATGCTTTTTGTTGCAAGGACTTTTTTCCAAAAATCTTTGTGATTAATCTTTGGGGGAATTATTCTAAAATAATAAATATAAAGAGTATTAGCTCAGTT